CATCATCAGCATCATCATCATCATCATCATCATCATCAGCATCATCATCATCATCAGCATCATCATCATCATCATCATCATCATCATCAGCATCATCATCATCATCATCATCATCATCATCATCGGGTTCCTCATCCTTCCTCATCCTCCCCCACCCCATCCCCCACCTCCGTGAACTCCTCCTCCTCATCATCCTCATCATCCTCCTCATCATCATCATCATCATCCTCCGCATCCTCATCACCTTCTTCATCCTAATACGCCTCATGTTCCTCCTCATCCTGCTCCGCCTCCCCCTCATCATCATCCTCCTCCTAATCATCCTCCTCGCTCTCCTCCTCCTCCTCCTCCTCCTCATCCTCCTCTTCCTCCTCCTCCTCCTTCTCCTCATCCTCATCCTCATCCTCATCATCATCCTCACCCGCATCCTCATCCTCATCCTCCTCCGCCGTCTCCTCATCATATTCCTCCTCCTCGTCCTCCTCATCCTCCTCCGCCTCCTCCTCCTCATGATCCTCGTCCTCCTCCGCCTCATCTTCCTCCGCCTCTACACCCTCTTCATTCCTCCTCATCCTCCTCCGCGTTCTCATCCTCCTCATTCTCATCCTCCGCATCCTCATCCTCCTCGTCCTCGCCCTCGTCCTCCTCCTCATCCGCACCCTCCTCGTCATCACCATCCTCCTCTTCACCTTCCTCCGCCTCCTCATCATCCTCATCTTCATCATACTCCCCCTCCTCCGCCTCCTCCTAATCATCATCTCCATCAGCAGCAGCATCATCAGCAGCAGCAACAGCATCATCGACATCATTAGCAGCAGCCTCATAATCAGCAGCATTCGCGTCGGCATAATCAGCATCGGCATCACCATCAGCATCATCATCAGCATCATCAGCAGCATCAGCATCAGCATCAGCATCAGCATCAGCATCAGCATCAGCATCATCATCAGCAGCAGCATCAGCATCATCAGCAACAGCATCATCATAGTCATTAGCATCATCATCAGCCGCATCAGCATCAACATCATCCGCATCATCAACATCAGCAGCAGCATCCGCAGTAGCATCATCCGCATCAGTATCAGCAACAGCCTCATCATCAGTATCATCAGCAGCAGCATCGTCAGCATCATCATCCGCAGCAGCATCAGCCTCAGCATCAACATCGTCATCAGCATCCTCAATATCATCAGCATCCTCTGCAGCATCAGCATCAGCAATAGCAGCATCATCGTCAGCCTCCTCAACATCACCAGCATCATCATCAGCACCATCAGCATCAGCAGCATCAGCAGCAGCATCGTCATCATCAGCATCATCATCAGCAGCATCGTCACCCTCTCCCTCATCCTCTTCCGCGTCCTCATCCGCATCCGTATCCGTACCCATATCCTCCTCAGACATCACCCTCCCCCGTCCTCATCTACCTCATCTGTTTCCGAGTGTGACTTGCCTGCCCCGCGTTCGCTGTCAGGCAAACCAAGCCATGCGTCGCGCCTCCTCGTCAAGAAGCCCGACCGTTGCGGGCCAGCAAACGGGAAATATGGTCTCCGTCGAATCACGTTTGGGAGCGATGGTGGCCAAACGCTAGATAGGTTCGCGTGCCTCGCACGTGCCCGCCACCCCACTCCCCCACCCCCTCCTCCTCCTCCTCCTCCTCCTCCTCATCCGCCTCCTCCTCCTCCTCCTCCTCGTCCTCCTCCTCCTCCCCCTCCTCATACTCATCCTCCTCATCCTCCTCATATTCCTCCTCCTCCTCCTCCCCCTCCTCCTCTTTCTCCTCCTCATCCTCATCGTCATCCTCATTCTCGTCATCCACGTCCTCCTCCTCATCCGCCTCCTCCTCCTCCTCCGCATCGTCCCCCTCATCCTGCCCCAACTATGTGCATTTCTCCGTATCATCCTCCCCCTCCCCATCATCATCCTCATCCTCCCCCTCCTCAGATACCTGAGCATCCACTTCCTCCTCCTCCTCCTCCTCTTCATCACCCTCCTCATACACGTCCTCTTCCTCCGCCTCCTCCTCATCCTCCTCCTGGTCCTCCTCCTCCTCCTCCTTATCAGCATCAGCATCTTCCTCCACATCCGCATACTCCTCCTCATCATCTTCCTCATCCTCCTCCTCCTCGTCCTCCGAATCCTCCTCATCAACCTCATCCACGTCATCCTCATCCTCCTCCTCTTCTTCCTCCTCCTCGTCGTTCTCGTCCTCCTCCGCCTTCTCCTCCTCCACCTCCTCCTCCTCCTCCTCCTCCTCCTCATCATCATCACCCTCCTCCGCATCCTCCTCCTGTTCCTCATTATCCTCCTCATGTTCATCTTCCGCATCCTCCTCCTCCTCCACCTCCTCCTCCTCCACCTCCTCCTACTCTTCCTCCGCCTCCTCATCCACTGCTCCTCGTCCTGCTCTCCTCCTCCTCCTCCTCCCTTCCTCCTCCTCCTCCTCCTTCGTCATCATCATCCATCATCATCATATCAGCATCATCATCATCATCATCATCATCAGCAGCATCATCATCATCAGCATCAGCATCATCAGCAGCATCCTCATCATCAGCATCAGATCAGCATCAGCATCAGCATATCATCATCAGCATCATCATCATCATCATCATCATCATCATCATCATCATCATCATCATCATCATCATGAACAACATCATCAACATCAGCATCATCAGCATCATCGTCAACCTCATCAACATCATCATCATCATCAGCAACAGCATCATCATCAGCATCATCATCAGTATCATCATCAGCATCATCATCAGCATCATCATCAGCATCGTCATCATCAGCGGCATCAGCATAAGCATCATCATGAGCAGCAGCATCATCATCGCCATCGTCATCAGCATCACCATCATCAGCATCATCATCAGCATCAGCATCATCAGCAGCAGCATCAGCATCATCAGCATCACCATCCTCATCCTCGTCCTCCTCTTCCTCCTCCTCCTCCTCGTCCTCCTCTTCCTCCTCCCCCTCCTTCTCCTCCTACTCATCCTCCTCCTCCTCCTCCTTCTCCTCCTCCGCCTCATCCTCCTCCTCCATCTCCTCCTCCTCCTCCTCCTCCTCCTCCTCCTCCTCCTCCTCCTCCGCCTCCTCCTCCTCCTCCTCCTCCTCCTCCTCCTACTCCTCTTCCTCGTCCTCGGCCTCCTCATCATCATCGTCATGCTCCTCTTCCTCCTCCTCCTCCTCCTCCGCCTCCGCCCCCGTCTCTTCGTGTTCTTCTTCCTCATCCTCATCATCAGAATCACCACCATCATCATCATCATCATCATCATCATCATCATCATCATCATCATCATCATCATCATCATCATCATCATCATCACCACCATCATCATCATCATCGTCATCATCATCATCATCATCACATCATCATCATCATCATCAGCATCAGCATCAGCATCATCATCATCATCACCACCATCAGCATCATCATCAACAACATCATCATCATCATCATCATCATCATCATCAGCATCATCATCATCATCATCATCATCATCATCATCATCATCATCATCATCATCATCATCATCATCATCATCATCATCATCATCATCATCATCATCATCATCATCAGCAGCAGCATCAGCATCATCATCGCCATCATCATCAGCATCATCAGCATCAGCATCACCATCATCGTCATCGTCATCATCATTATTACCATCATCAGCATCATCAGCAGCAGCATGATCATCATCAGCAGCAGCACCATCATCATCAGCATCATCATCAGCAGCAGTAGCATCAGCATCATCATCAGCATCATCATCAGCATCATCAGCATCGTCATGATCACCATCAGCATCATCCTCATCATCATCATCATCATCATCATCATCATCATCATCGGCATCATCGTCATCATCATCATCGTCGTCATCATCATCATCATCAACATGATCCGCCTTCTCCTCCTCCTTTCCCTCCTCCTCCTCCTCCTCGTCCTCCTCCTCCTCAGCCTCCTCCCACTCCTCCTCCTCCGTCTCCTCCTCGTCCTCCTCTTCATCCGCCTCGTCCTCCTCCTCCTCCTCCTCCTCTTCCTCCTCCTGCTCTTCCTCCTCCTTCTCCTCCTCCTCCTCCTCCACCACCACCTCCTCCTCCTCCTCCTCCTCCCCCTCCTCCCCCTCCTCCTCCCCCTCCTCCTCCTCCTCCTCCTGATCCTCCTGCTCCTCCTGCTCCTACTGCTCCTCCTCGGCTTCTCCTCCTCCACCTCCTCCTGCTCCTCCTCCTCCTTCTCCCCCTCCTCTCTCCTCCTCCTCCTCCTCCTCCTCCTCCTCCTCCTCGTCCTCCTCCTCCTCCTCCTCATCATCGTCATCATCATTCTTATTAATAACTTTCCCTGTCCACCCCGAGGCCAGTTTTTAGGCTGGGCCGGGCGTTTCACCTGAAACTCCCTCACCTCTCATGACTCTGAAGCTGAAAAATGAACACCGCTTCACGGATGCAAAGATTTCAGGAGCTTCACGGATTGAGGGCGGGTCGTTTTCAACATGTCGCTCTCGCCTTGGCGCCGCGCACATTCGTTATTAAGAAGTGCAAGAATTTCACGGATCGAGGATACCCCATTTTCAAAGTGTGGTTCTCGCCGCAGCGCCGCGCACATTCGTTCTCAAAATGTGCAAGATCACGGATTGAAGATAACGCGTTTTCAAAATGTGGCTCTCGCCTGAGCGCAACTCACATTCGTTCTAAAAATTGCAAGACCTTCACGGATTGAGGGCGGGTGGTTTTCAAAATGTGGCTCTCGCCTCAGCGCCGCGCACATTCCCTTATAAGAATTGCGAGAGTTTCACGGGTTCCCACGATCAACGTACCAAAAATTGTGTGTTGGAA